TTCTGTCTGGTTTACCTGTCCATTTCTGAAAGTGGGGTATAGAAGTCCCCCATTACTATGTATTGGATTCTATGTCTCCCTTCAGATTCATTAACGTTTTTTTTTAAAAAGCCAGATGCTGTGTAATTAAGTGCATATACGTTTATAATAGTCACATCTTCCTGTTTAATTGATCCGTTAATCATTACATAGTGCCCCCCCCCCTTTTGACAGGCAGAGTGGACAGTGAGAGAGACAGAGAGAAAGGTCTTCCTTTTCCGTTGGTTCACCCCCTAATGGCCACTGCGGCCAGCGCTGCGCCAATCCAAAGCCAGGAGCCAGGTGCTTCTCCTGGTCTACCATGCGGGTGCAGAGCCCAAGCACTTGGGCCATCCTGCACTGCCTTCCTGGGCCACAGCAGAGAGCTGGACAGGAAGAGGAGCAACCGGGACAGAATCCGGCTCCCCGACCGGGACTAGAACCTGGTGTGCCAGCGCCGCAGGCAGAGGATTAGCCTATTGAGCCGTGGTGCCGCCCCCCCCCCCTTTTTTTTAACAGGTTTTGTGTTAAAGTATAGTTTTTTTCTTTTTTTTTGAAGATTTACTCATTTACATGAAAGGCAGAGTTACAGAGGGACAGAAGCAGAGAGAGAGAGAGAGAGAGAGAGAGAGAAATAGAGAGAGAGAGAAAGAGAGAGAGAGAGAGAGAGAGAGAATCTTCCATCTGTTAGTTCACTCCCCAAATGGCTACAACGTCTGGAGCTGGGCTGATCTGAAACCAGGAGCCTGGAGCTTCTTCCAGGTCTCCCTCCCTGGTACAGGGTCCTAAACACTTGGGCCATCTTCTACGGCTCCCAGGCCACAGCAGAGTGCAGGATCAGAAGTGGAGCAGCTGGGACTCGAACCGGCGCCCATATGCGATGCTGGCACTGCAGGCAGTGGCTTTATCTGCTATGCCACAGTGCTGGCCCCTGCACATTAGTTTTTTAGTGTTTTAAAAATTACTCCACAGTAGTGGCTTACAACAGCACAGATGCATTGTGTTTATGTGATGTAGGTCAGAAATCTGACACAGTCTCACTGTGCTGGCAGGGCTGTGTTTGTCTTGGAGACTGGAGGAGGAATCCTTTGTCCTGCATTTCTCCCTCTCCTGTCAGTTGCTGGCATTGCTTGGGGCATAGCTTCCTTTCCCCAGACCAGCAAGGGTCGGTCAGGTCTCACCTTGTATCACTGACTTGCTCGATTTCCAACTTCAACTTCTGAGAACCCTTGGGATTAGGCTTGATCCCCACGAATAGTACAATAATCTCCATATGGGAATGTCAGCTGATTAGCAGCCTTAATTGTATTCACCACCTTAATTCCACTTTGCCATGTAACCTGTCACTGATGGGGTCTGATGATCATGTGGATGGCATTTGGGTCACTGTGCTATTACCACATGTGGAATCCTCACGTTTCTAAGACCTTCCTCCCTGCCTCCTCCCCTCCACACCGGCTCTGCCTCACTCACACCAAACTCCACACTCAGCTCTCAAAGTCTAGACTGGTGGTGGATAAAGTTCACACTGGAAGGTTTCCTAGGAAACCCATCTGCCCACACTTTCCATCCCTCAAGTTCTCTCTGCATAAGGAAACTTCCTGCCATGGGCACAGTGGCTTTTGCAACTTTGGGTCCCGTGTGATTTCTAAGACTGCCTTGTGACTCTGCCTCCTCTCTTCCTGTCTGCACCCCAAGTTCAGTTTCATGTTCTGACCACACTCAGAACTGTCCTCTGTGGTCACTACCACTGTGTCTCCTGCAGACACGGAAGGCATGGGCCTTTCTCTGGGTGTGAACTCAGTGGCTACTGTTCCTACTGTCATTTGCTCAATGTTTAGCTTCTGGGAAATTGTGTTTTGTCTGTAACGTGCTCCCGCCTTCCTTGTAGGGCAATGTCTGGCCTTCAGTGAGGTCATGGTGACAACGTGTGACCTGTGGTGTGCTCCAGACACGTGAGACCCCATGCTTTTGTCTCCTCCTGCCCCAGAGCCAGTGCCTGCTCCTCAAATCCTGGCTGAGTCACCGTCCATCACATCTGGCTGGTGCAACGTCACCCTGCAATGCAGGGCCACAGGGGCCACAGAGCAGCTGAACGTGACCTGGGAGAGCACAGGCCCCCCCAGCGAGCTGAAGCAGGGAGGGGCACCAGGACCAGCCCCCAACTCCTGGACTCTGGCTGTGAGTCTACCTCGGAGTCAGCCCAACGCCAGCCTCACCTGTGTGGTCAGCAACCAGGGGGACCAGAAGAGTGCCACCTTGGACCTGGGTGATGTCTGTGTCCCAGGTGAGTGTGCCTGAGACAGCACTGGGTCTGCGGGTTTCACGCTTTTCTCCCTGCCACGTTTAGTGCCACCCTCTCTACCTGGACCCCCCTACAGAGGTCTGGGAGTCCCAGCCCACTCCTGCTTCTGAACATTCCCCCCACGCAGGGAGGCCTGCCAGGACCCCCCACCCCACCCGTCTTCATGTGGGTCCACATTGTCTTTGGAGAAGGAAATCAGACTGTGTCACTCATCCGTGTGCTCTCTGGGACTGACCTCCAGTGACTCCCTGAAGGGTTCAGTCTCAGATGTTCCTCTGCCCATGCTGTTGGCTTCATTTGCACACCTCACACTGAACTTATTGCTGTAGTTTCCTGACAGTGACCCTTATGATGAATTTTTGTGGCTTGCACAAAAATTGTAAAGATTTATTTATTTATTTGTAAGACAGTGTTGGGTGGGGGGAGAGATCTTCCATCCACTGGTTCACTCCCCAAATGGCCACATTGGTAGGTTCTGGGCCAGACCAAAATCAGGAGCCAGGAGCATCTATGGGTCTCCACGTAGGTGGAGGGGCCCAGGCCCTTGGGCCGTCATCCACTGCTTTTTCTGAGTATTAGCATGGAGCAGGATCAAAAGTGGATAAGATGGGACTGGAACTGGCACATATATGGGATGCTGGTTCTGCAGGTGGCAGCTTTACCCACAATGCCATGGTGCCAGCCTCTAGGCTTCATTTATTTTCAGGAGCTGTCTGTGACCAACCCCCATGAAGTAGTGATAATCCACTTATGTATTTGATTCTTCCATAGACTATTGCACTTTAAGGGATGGAGGTCACGTCTTTATCTGAACTCCTTTCCAAGGTCAAAGTTTGCTCATCAAATGTGTTTCATTGAATGAATGAATGACCTTGTACCCCAAGTGAATCTCATTCTCTCAACCCTTCCTCCCGGAGCTGCAGGAGGGATTTGATAAATCAGGGCCACTATTACAGTCTCTCCACTTTGTCCTGTGGTATCAGCTAAAGAGAAACACTTAGCATAACCACAAAATCCTCTAGACTTAAACTCCAACCACCTCCTTCTGACCCACTTCTCCCTGGTCTCTTCCCCTGCCTGTCCTTCTCCTGGCAACTCCCAGCTCTGGCATTTTGCCACTGCTACTTCCCAAAAGTGATGGTTCTTGTGATCAGACTGCCACAGACTGAATATTTGGGAAACTCCCGCTCCTTTTCATGACTCGGTTTATCCAGCACCTCCTCTGGGGAGGCCTCCTTGGAGCACTAGCAGAAAGTGTAAAGGCTGTTGCAGGGGTGGGCATTTGGCCTAGGGGGTGAGAGCATGGTTATGATGTCTTTTTTCATTGTAGAAATACCTGGGTTCAGTTCCTAGCTTTGGTTCCTGATTCTAGCTTCCACCACCAAAGACCCTGGGAGGCAATAGATGGTGGCTCAAGTAATTGGGTGCCTGCCAACCACACTGAAGAACTGGACTGATTTCCTAGCTCCATGCTTTAGTGGGAACCATGGGTGTCTGAGAAGTAAACCAATACATGGGTGCTGTCACTGTCTCTCAAGAACAAACAAATAAAACATGAAAACTCACCTTTGCTGCGGCCACAATCTGTCAGGAAGCTATTGTTATTTTTTCACATTCCCTCCCTGGCAATGAACTTCTCTCAGGGTGGAACTGGCTTTGTGCATCTCAGCTTCCCTGGCACCAGCAGGAGCCTGGTCATGGTGAGCAGCTCTTCTGTGCTCCTCCCACTTCAGCTCTTGAGCCAGGCCCCTTCCGTCTCCTGCACCTGCTTTCTCTCTGTCTCCCCTTGGCAGTAGTTGCCCCAATTTCTCTCCTGCCTCATCCCTGCTTTACTCTCTCTGTGTGCAAGCAGCAGACTCCCGGGGACAGCCCACTGCTGGCGTCGTGGGAGGCGTCCTGGGGGCTCTTCTGCTGTTCATCCTGGGAGCTGGGCTATACCTCTGGAGGACACGTGGGAAGAAGAAGAGGAAGAAGAGGAAGAGGCAGAAGGAGGAAGAGGAGACTGACAGAGGCAGGTTGCCCTTCTGCTTTCAGGCCAAGATACTTCCCTTCCCCAGCTAGAGGACCCCATACAGTTTTGGGGTATCCAGGTGCTGCCAGGAAGTGGGCCCTACAGAGGAGATGGTGGGGTGACCATGAACTTGGGGTCTATGGCACGAGGAGGGTTGCAGTCTTCCAGGCACAAATCTGACCTTCAGTGTGTGTATGACGCAGGTGCAGCCCTGCAGCGAGACCACAGGGGTGATGATGGTGGCATGCACTATGCACAGCTGATGAAGGAGGAGACTCAGGATGGCCAGGAGAAGGTGAGAGCTGGCAGGCGTGGCCAGCCTGGACACCTGCATGTCTCTGACTGCCTGGCCTTGGCTTCCCAAACCCAGGGATCAGCTAGTGGTCTCCACTGTTCTTTCAGTCTTTTATTATATCAATAGTTTTAAAAAAAGCAAATGTGCAGTTGACCAGTATGGTGTTGGGTGCTTTGGGGAAATCCACAAACCATGCATGTCCATAGGTATTGACTCTGTGCAGGTCCCCTGGGCCTCTCTATCCCTCAGCTGCTCCACTTACCCTCTGTCCTTCATCCGCAGGCTGGCGGTAGGCAACATCTGGGAGAACAGGAGTCTATCACAACCGTCTACAGTCAGATCCATAGCCCAGGCCAGGGGATGAAGGTCATCTAAGAGGAGAAGGCAGAACTGGCACTCCTGGGCACCTGCACTCCGAGCCTGATGCCTGTGGATCCCTTCCTTTGGTAGCAGTTGTCCAGCAGCAGCCGCCCTCTTCTGCCTTAGCCTGACCTGGTGGCCACCACTCTCTGGGAACACGAGGCCTGTCACTTCCTCTGCTACATTCCATGGCCGCCCTCCCACTCAGGATCCTTATCTTCCTCTGGCATTGCCATGACCCATGATCCTTTCCTCCAGATGCCTGCCATAGAGGACCTTCCTGGCTATGGGCATCGCTAATCCTCTCTGCCTCTGCTGTGTCACTGGTGTCTTTGTGACAACATGAGCTCTGGCATGAGGACATTGGCGACATGTTAGTGCCCTGGAGGAGCCAGGTCTGGATCCTGGGTTAGTAGGTGATGGAGGCAGTGTGGGTGGTAGGACCCTACAAAGGACTGGCCTGAAGCTTCCTTTGAAGACCTTGCGTTGGGCTCCCTTGGAGGGTTGGGCAATGTGTGTGTGTGTATGTGTTGCTGGCTTTGTCTACTGCACATTGTATACCTAGGCTTGAGTCCTTTTTCTTTGCCATGTGTGCTAATGTGACTCTGCCGCAGCCCCAGTTCGGGGCCCACACCCACCTTCCCATGGAGTGGGAAGAGGAATTGGTGTTATCCCTGGCCCTTCCCAAAGAGTGATCCCGAGAAGCGGAGTCCGGAGTTACCTTTAGGAAAACAGCCTCAGCTCACCCTGACCTATGATGGGTGCATGGTGATGGGAATGGTGGGCTGTGTTACCCAGGGCCCCTTGGTAGGGCTGCTGTGAGCTTGTTGGATGATGCTGGGGGAAGCTGTGACCCAGCCAGCTCAGCCTCATCTCATGACCCTCAAGCCCTACAGCCTTTTTGACCCAAAATCAAGGTTGACCTCGTTGCTCACTTGCATACTTCTGTCTAGAATTATGATTCCAGCTCATACTCACACCTGTCTGCTGAAATCCCAGCATCCTGTCCAAATCTCTTTTCCACGCTACCTGTTCCAAGAAGCCTCTCAGGAATCCAATGGTTTCTTAAAGGGGTTTCCCACGTCGACCTCCCTGAACACATTGGACCACACTAGGGCCCCTGTGGTCGTCTGTCTTGTGTTGGTTATGAGTCATCCTTCTGGACCAATCTGCAGCTCCAACAGGCATGTATTCCCCTTGTGGGAAGTCAAGATCAAGGAGGCAAGCACCCCTCAGTGTGGAGGACCTGGGCTGCCCTACCATGCATCCCAAGGGGCTCTGCAGATGGAAAGCCAGAGCACGGAGGTGGATCGTCTCTGGTGCTGGCTCTCCTTACATGCAGGTGTGAACCAGATGCTCTCCCATGATCCTTCCTGGCCTGGAGGTCTGAACTGGGGACTCTCCACTCAAGCCTCACATTGCCTTTGGACCTTAGATGGTCAGCAACAACAGTAACAACAACAAAACACGGATGTTGTATCATCTCATGGCTGAACACACAGGTGGTGGGTACTCTGAAGTTTCTGGTCTGCACCCATCTTCTGGACTCCACATTGTAAGTATTCAACTTTTGGAGCTAGCACTGTGGTATAGCAGGTAAAGCGGCCGCTTGCAGTGCTGTTATCTTATACGGGAGCTGGTTCGAGTCCCGGCTGCTCCACTTCTGATTCAGCTCTCTGCTTAAGGCCTAGGAAAGCAGTGGAAGATGGTCCAAGCCCTTGGACTCCTGTACCCACGTGGGAGACCCAGAAGAAGCTCCTGGCTCCTGGCTTCCGATAGCGCAGCTCCGGATGTTGCTAACATCTGGGGAGTGAACCAGCAGATGGAAGACTTCTCTCTCTCTCTTTTACCTCTGCCTCTCTGTAACTCTGCCTTTCAAATAGATAAAAATTAAAAAAATCCAATTATTTACTTGAAATATCCACTTGGATGTATACAGGCGCCTACAAATCACATTGAATCTGTTAAAAACTAATCAAAAATTAAAATTTAAAAATTTACAAAACCTACGTGGATGTGTGGAAGAACAGAGTATCAAACTCTATGTGAGGGTATTTTACATATATTTTATTATATAAATATTATACATATTTTCCTATGTATACATTTACTTATAGTAAAGTTTTGTTGGTTAAGCACAGAAAGAGATTGAAAATAATGGCTCACAATAAAACAGAAAAATTATTGCAATACACATACAGTGTAATAAAAATATTATGAGTGTGTTATCTTTCGTACTGCGCTGTGCTGGTCCTCTGGTGATGGATTGAGATGATGCGATCCTTACTGGATGACGGGAAGTGAGGTTCATGATAGGCATCGTGATGCAGCATTGGGCATCCACATAGCGGTCATTGGAACACAGGTACCACACGCAGTGTTACAGCAGTTGGTAACCAACCTGAGTGCTAACTGACTGACAGGTGGGTAGCATATAGGGCATGGATGCGCAGGACAAAGGGAGGATTCGCATCCCAGGCAGGATGTGGCATGATGGTGGTGGGATGTCAGCCCAGGAAGCAGGTAAGGGCAAGGATGGGAGCAGGGGCCGTGTGTGTGTGAGAACCCAGCTGCTGCGTCTGCAGGGAGGGTCCTGTCTGAGCGGTGGTAGCCGTCCTGGCTCAGCTCATCACTGCCATCTGCTTTGCTTGCTCCATGCGCAGGGCGGGTCTGGGCGGTCTGGAGCCTGGTGGGTGGCCTGCCTGCTGCACCCTGAGTGCTGCAGGGCCCCGCCCCTGGGGTGCCGAGAGCAAATGAGCTCTGTGAGCTTAAACTTTTCCCCTGTTCTTGCCTCTTCCTTTTCCGATGCTTCCTCTGCAGCTGATCAGCCGGCAGGAGCTGCCATGGGGCCCTGCTTAGCAGCCCCCCACCTCTGCTGGGCCTCGGGGCTGCTGGCCTTCCTCAGCCCCCTCCTCAGTGAGTGCCCGGGGCTCCCTGGGAGGGAGGGCAACTGGGTGGGGCTAGGGTAGGTGGGGCCCTGCAGTCTGGGGAGGGCTCTGGGAGCTACTCTCTGGGAAAGAAGAAGATAAAACCATGGGGTTAAACCTGACAGATGTAGCACATTTGTTTAGGGCTGCGGTTGATGGAAATGGAAGAGGAAGAGATGGTGTTTGCTGGCAAGTATTGTGGGGACACAGAGATGTCACTTTTGGCAACAGAAGGGGATTTCTTTCCAGGGCCATGGTGTCAGATCAGAGCAGGCTGTGTCCCGTGTGTTGTCAGGTGAAACCGTCTGAACAGAGAAAGGTCCCATCAACCCAGGGATGACAAACACACTGTGGAGAGTCTGTGCCATGGCTGCTGTTTGGCGTGAAAAAACAAAGTACCAGTTTTCTGGGAGAGGTTACTAATCTCCTGGAGGTGGGGTCTGAAATGTTTGTCAATAAGATTCAGGAAACTCTGCCCTACAATCGTTACTTTACAGTCTCACACACCTGGAGTCATGTTGGCTGTGTTCTGATCTCTTGGTGTTGCCGTTGTCTGGGAGGGGATAGCCCGGTGTGTGCCTCTGACGAATGAGGGTCCTTGGAGGCTGCTTAAGAGTGACCCTCCAGTGGAGGATGGCCCAAGTGCTTGGGCACCTGCACCCGCATGGGAGACCAGGAAGAAGCACCTGGCTCCTGGCTTCGGGTCGGCGTAGCGCCGGCCCTAGCGGACATTTGGGGAGTAAACCCACGGAAGGAAGACCTTTCTTTCTCTCTCTCACTGTCTATAATGCTACCTGTCAAATAAAAAAAATTATTTAAAAAAAAGAGTGGCCCTCTGCAATAATGCACTCAGTGTGTGCTGGGAAACCTGCCCCATGCTCTCATGCAGCTCATGCCGTCGTTATGAGGCAGGCACAGACACTGAAGCCTACTGAGGGCAAATCACCTGTTCATGTTAACTCCACCCGATCCGGCACTTACTCCCAGAATTGCTTCCCATGAAATTTAGATTGCCTTCCTAAAATCAAGGGTTTCTACTGGATGGATTTGATTAATCAGAAAGAATTTCTGAGTTTCTCTCTTTTGCTCTGCTGAGAAAATGCTCACATTTCCCCTTTGCAACCCCCTAGGCATCTGCAGCACCTTGGGCAAGGGCCCTGAAGCTCGTGGCTCCGGGGTTCTGGATTCTGGACTCCACTTTCCTGTGAAGAGGACGCGAGGGGGCTCCGTGTCGTTCCATGTGGTGCAGCAGCCAGGATGGGCTCCTGGAGAGAAGCTGGAGGAGATCTCGTGGGGCTTTGGCCCTGAGTCAGCGTACAGAGTCATCCTGCTGGTCCACAGTGGGACAGCCTCTCCAACCTGGGTCAGCCTCGAGGACAAGTTCAAACCAAGGCTCCACATGCCCAACATGACGTCCCTTGTGATTGAGAATGTGACCTCACAGGACAGTGGGCAGTATCGGGCTCAGATCAGATTCACTGGAGGACTTTTATCTACCCAGGTTTTCCACCTCACTGTCTATGGTAAGTGACAGCCCCTGTCTGGAACCCCTGGCACAGTTCCTGCTGCTGTGCCCAGGAGCGTCTCCTAGGCCTGCTGTGCAGGGTCTCATCAGTCACTGTCTTGAGTGTGCATTTTTTGCTTTAAAATGAAGCATGGACTGGTGCTGTGGCACAGTGGATAAAGTCCTTTGTCTGTGTCGCCATAAGAGTGCCATTTAGAGTTCCAGTGCATCGCTTCTGATCCACTCCCTGCTGCTGCACCTGGGAAAGTGGCGGAGGATGGCCCAAGTGCTTGGGCCTCTGCACCCACGTGGAATACCCAGATGACACTTCTGGCTTCGACCAGGCCAGGCTTGGCCGTGTGCCCCTTTGGGGAGTGAAACAGCAGATGGAAGTTCTGTCTCTCCCACTCTCTCTGTGACTTTGATTTTCAAATAAATCAAAAATCAATAAGTCTTTTGTTAAAAAACAGAGCATACTCACCACCAACAGAGAGCAGAGCTGAGATTCACAGTGGGGCAGAATCACTTCAACATTTTAGGGGAGAAAACACAACTTTTGAAAATTTAGAGGCATTTGCAACAACAATAATTTTTACATGGTCACTTCATTTCTATATTATTATTGTTCTTTTCTTTTTAAAAAGGATTTATTTTATTAATTTGAAAGAGTTGCATAGAGAGGTAGATCCAGAGCGAGAGCGAGAGCGAGAGCGAGAGAGAGAGAGAGAGAGAGACATCTTCCATGCGCTAGTTCACTCCGCAAAAGACCGCAGTGGCCGGAGCTGCACTGATCCAAAGCCAGGAGCCAGGAGCTTCCTCTAGGTTGCCCATGAGGGTGCAGGGGCCCAAGGAGTTGGGCCATCTTCCACAGCTTCCCCAGGCCACAGCAGAGAGCTGGATCAGAAGAGGAGCAGCCAGAACTCGAACTGGTGCCCATTTGGGATGCCGGCACTGCAGTCTGGGGCTTTAACCTGCTGTGTCAGAGCGCTGGCCTGTATTATTATTATTTTGCTGTAAAAATTGCCACATAGTAGTGTGATGTGGGTCAGGAATCTGAGACAGTCTCACTGGGCTGGCAGGACTGTGTTCCTCTTTGAGGCTTGACGGAGAATCCTTCCTCCTGCCTTTCTCTTCTCCTTGCTGCCTGCATTCCTTGGTGCATGGCCACTTCCTAATGTAAACTAGCAAGGGTGGATCAGTCTTGAATTGCATGCCCTGACTTGTCTTTTTTTTTTTTTTTTTTTTGTCTTCCACTTCTGAAGACCCTTATGAATATGTTTGGTCTTATGAATAATACAATAATTTTTATATGATTGTCAGCTAATCAGCACCTTAATTCTATTTGCTACTTTGATTCCACATGCATGTACCCACTTTGGCAGATTGACGGGGTCCACTGATGATCAGATGGATGTCATTTGGGTCACTGTGCTGCTATGACATGTGGACTTCTCGTGTTTCTAAGACCTTCCTACCCCCCTCCTTCCCTCCATACCAGCTCCACTCCACTCACACCAGACTCCACACTCAACTCTCAAAGCCTGGACTGGTGGTGGAGAGAGTTCACACTGGAAGGTTTCCTAGGAAACCCATCTGCCCACACTTTCCTTCCCTCAAGTTCTCTCTGCATAGGGAAACTTCCTGCCATGGGCACAGTGGCTTTTGCAACTTTGGGTCCCGTGTGATTTCTAAGACTGCCTTGTGACTCTGCCTCCTCTCTTCCTGTCTGCACCCCAAGTTCAGTTTCATGTTCTGACCACACTCGGAGCTATCCTCTGTGGTCACTACCACTGTGTCTCCCGCAGACGCGGAAGGCATGGGCCTTTCTCTGGCCTCCCGGAGTTTCCTGCTGGCCTGCCTCACGAGGGTCGTGCAGTCCCAGGCACCATCTCAGCTTCTGTCCCTTGCTTCTTCCTGTATTGGACTGATGCTACTTTCCTAGAAACAATGGATCCTTGAACATAGATTCTTTCTTTCTGTTTTTTTTTTTCTTTTTTTTTTTTTTTTTTGACAGGCAGAGTTAGACAGTGAGAGAGAGAGAGACAGAGAGAAAGGTCTTCCTTCCATTGGTTCACTCCCCAAATGGCCGCTTCAGCCTGCGTGCTTTGCTGGTCCGAAGCCAGGAGCCAGGTGCTTCCTCCCGGTCTCCCATGCGGGTGCAGGGCCCAAGGACCTGGGCCATCTTCCACTGCCTTCCCGGGCCACAGCAGAGAGCTGGACTGGAAGAGGAGCAACCGGGACAGAATCCGGAGCCCCAACCGGGTCTAGAACCTGGGGTACTGGCACCGCAGGTGGAGAATTAGCCAAGTGAGCCGTGACGCTGGCCTGAACATAGTTTCTTGTCTTCATTGTTTCCTGGGAACTTTTTACCAATTGCTTACTCTAGGGAGATCTGGGTGTGAACTCAGTGGCTACTGTTCCTGCTGTCATTTGCTCAATATTTATCTTTTGGGAAGCTGCATGGGCTTTAATGAGGTCATGGTGAGAGTAAGTGATCTGTGATGTACTTCACATGTGTGAGATCCCATGTGTTTGTCTCCTCCTGCCCCAGAGCCAGTGCCTGCTCCTCAAATCCTGGCTGAGTCACCGTCCATCACATCTGGCTGGTGCAACGTCACCCTGCAATGCAGGGCCACAGGGGCCACAGAGCAGCTGAACGTGACCTGGGAGAGCACAGGCCCCCCCAGCGAGCTGAAGCAGGGAGGGGCACCAGGACCAGCCCCCAACTCCTGGACTCTGGCTGTGAGTCTACCTCGGAGTCAGCCCAAAGCCAGCCTCACCTGTGTGGTCAGCAACCAGGGGGACCAGAAGAGCGCCACCTTGGACCTGGGTGATGTCTGTGTCCAAGGTGAGTGTGCCTGAGACAGCACTGGGTCTGTGGGTTTCAGCTTTTCTCCCTGCCACGTTTAGTGCCACCCTCTCTACCTGGACCCCCTACAGAGGTCTGGGAGTCCCAGCCCACTCCTGCTTCTGAACATTCCCCCCTGCAGGGAGGCCTGCCAGGACCCCCCACCCTACCCGTCTTCCATGTGGGTCCACGTTGTCTTTGGAGAAGGAAATCAGACTGTGTCACTCATCCGTGTGCTCTCTGGGACTGACCTCCAGAGACTCCCTGAAGGGTTCAGTCTCAGATGTTCCTCTGCCCATGCTGTTGGCCTCACTAGCACACCTCACACTGAGCTGCTTGCTGTAGTTCAATCTGAAAGTGTCCTGCTATGGTGAGTTTTAAGGCTTCTTTTATGGAGCAGACCGTGGCCATCCCACACAAAATGGTAATAATCCATTTATGTATTTCAATGTTCCATAGGCAAGAATACCTTAAGGAAAGGAGTCATGTCTTTTTCTCTTTGAATTCTTTTTCCGTGCATAGCTTTTGGTCACAGTATCTCCCAAATGGCGTTTCATTGAATGAATGAATGAATGATCTACAATCCTGAGTGAATCTTATTCTCTCTAACCTTTTATTCTAGGAGCTTTGATACATCAAGGTCGCTGTTACAGCCTCTCCCCACGTCTGTCCTGGGGTCTCAGCTGAAGCTGAACACTTACCATGACCACAGGAACCTCTGCACTTAGACTCCCACCTCCCCTGGGCCCCCCTTGCACCTGGCTCCTGTCCGTCTTCTCCCGGGAAACCCTGACACTGGCATTTTGACACAGCTATTTCCCAAATGTGGTGATCCTCGTTATCAGACTGCACAGCCTGACTATTTTGGGAACAGGATGGGTTCCCCTCCCTCATGACTCAGTTTACCCATCACCGTCTCTCTGAGGCCCCCTGAAGGCTGTGTATACAGTACACAGGCTGTTGCAGGGGTGGACATTTGGCCTGGTGGTTAAGAGGCTGCTTCTAATCCTGTTCCCCCTCTCAGAGTGCCCACGTTCGATCCCCGGATCTGGCCCTTGGTTCCAGCTTCCTACCAGTAAAGACCCTGGGAAGCAACAGGTGATGGCTCAAGTAATCAGCTCTCAACCACCCCCAACTGAGACCTGGGTGGAGTTCTCAGCTCCTGGCTTTGGTTGTGGGCCTCAGGGGGCAGTAAATCAACGCATGGGAGCAGTCTCTTTCTCAAATCCCAAAAACGTATGAAATCAAAGAAATGAAACGCACCTCTGTTGAGCCACAGTCTCCGTCAGGAGACCAGTGTTATGTTCTCAGCATTCCCTCCCTGGTGATGAAGCCAAGGGGAGGGACCAGGCTTTGTGCATCTCAGCTCCCCTGGCACCAACAGGAACCTGGTCATCGGTGAGTGAACCTTCCACGCTCCTCCCTCTTCAGCTTCTGAGCCAGGTCCCTTCCACCTTCTCCACCTACTGTCTCTCTCTGTCTCCTCTTGGCAATGGATACTTCAATTTCTCTCCTCCCTTAATCCTTATTTATTCTCCCTGTGTGACAGAAACAGACTCGCATGGACAGGCCATTGCTTGCCTTGTGCAAGTAATCCGGGGCACTCTTCTGGCTGTTCTGCTGATCCTGGGAGCTGGATTATTCCTTTGGAGGACCCGTGGGAGGAAGAAGAAGGAGACTGGAAGAGGCAGGTTGCCTTTCTTCTTTCAGGCCCCTATCCCTTTCCTTCCATGGAGGTCCCTTCACCTGCGTTTTGCTGCCTGGAAGTGGGCCTGCCGCGGAGATGATGGGGTGACCATGAACTGGGGTCCATGACATGAGGAGGGTTACAGTCCCCCAGGCATAGGATCAACCTTCAGTGTGTGTGATGCAGGGGCAGCCCTGCAGTGGGACCGCAGGGGTGATGGAGGTGGCATCCACTCTGCACAGCTGATGGAGGAGGAGACTCAGGATGGCCAGGAGAAGGTGAGAGCTGGCAGGTGTGACCAGCCTGGACACCTGCATGTCTCTGAGTGCCTAGCCCTGGGCCCCCTGAACTCAGAAACCTGCTGTTTCTGTCTCCATTCTCTTTTCACTGTTTTGTAGTACTAGGAGTTTGCACTAATAGAATTTACAGTTGATCACTATGGTGCCCCATGCTTTGGGGAAATTGACAAATGGTGCATGTCTGTGGGTATTTCTCCGGGGCCTCTCTATCTCAGCTGCTCCACCTGCCCTCCGACTTGCATTCTCAGGGTGGAGGTGAACAACAAGGAACCTATCATTAACATCCACAACAAGGCTAGAAATCTAGGTCTGGCCTTGAAGATCATCAGATTGGCGGCAGCAGATTTTGCCATGCCTAGGACACCTACTATCTGAGCCTGATCCTTTAGGTCCCTTCCTTTGTAGCTCTTAGCCCGCGCCAGTATCCTGGTTTGTCTTCGCCTGGCCTGGTGGCCACAGCTCTCAGGCACCCCAGGCCTGTGAGTTCCTCTGCTTGTGTTCGCAAGCTGCCCTCGCACTCAGGATCCTCACACCCGCCTGGTGAGGGCTCTTCCCTCGGCATTACCGTGACTCCTGACTCTTTTCTTCCAGGTGCCTCCCCATAGGGTGCCTGCCTGACTGTACACGAGGCCAGTCCCCCATTGCCTCTGCTGTGTCACCGGTGTGTGTCTTTTTGAGAGCACGAGACCCAGTGTGGGGATACTGTGGAGGCATTGACCGCGCTGGAGGAGCTGAGTTCTGGATCCTGAGTTGGAAGATGATGGAAGCAATGTGGGTGGTTGGGAACTGGCAAAGGAGTGGCCTGAAACTTCCTTTGCAGACCTTGCATAGGGCTCCCTTGGGGGTGTTGGGCAGTGTGTGTGTGTGTGTGTGCGTGTGTGTGTGCGATTGTGGTAGTGTCTACTGCACATTGTGTACCTGGGCTGGAGCTCTTTTCCTTTGGCATGTGTGCTAATGTCACGCTGCCTCCGCCTCAGCTCGTGGCTTCCTGGGCAGTGGGAAGAGAAGTCTGTGCTGTCTCTGGCCCTTTCCAGATGCGTGTCTCCCAGAGAACAACCCTGGGAAGCAGTCAGGAGTTTTCTTAGGAAAACAGCCTCAGCTCACCCTGATCTCCAATTCTGGCAGCTGGTGGTGAGAACAGGTGTGCAGTGTCACCGCACACCCTCTGGTGGGTGCTGCTGTGTCCTCTGGCGGGTAATGCTAGGGGAAGGTGTGACCTGATCATCTTGGCCTCTCCACTTAGCTGCAGTGCCTGAGCCTGCTGGCCCCAAGCCCTAATGCAGCCTTTTTGTTGCTCACTCTAACACTGCCCGGTTTGGCTCTGCGACTTCCAGTGACTTTGCTTGACCCAGAGGTCTGAACTGAGGATTCTCCCCCTCGTGATATCCCTCCCCTCAGTGCCTGAGGACCTGATGTAGCCCGTTTGCATCCTGCTGTATGGATGCTCCTTTTCTGCATGGGGGTCCTCACTTGCTTGGATCCTCTTCCTCCTGCCTTTGGCCCTGGGGTTCGCATCACAGTTAAGCTGACTGATGAGCTAGGCTCCTGAGTCTTGATTCTTCCAGTTCGGCTGAGCTTCCTCAGATCTGACTCCAGAAATCAAATGTCTGAACAGGGTCCCTGCTAAGGGCTATGATCCAATGCTTGTGACCTGCTGATGGTGGATGAGTGAGTGAGGGCAGAATAGGGCTCTGTCTCCGACTTCTTGTTCTCAGACTAAGCATAAATCTGATGATGTGAAAGATACCATATCCTCACTGACAGGTGACCAGTCATAGCTGGGCATCAACACCTATCAGCCCAATGTAAGCTGTGACCACCCATTGACAGTTCCCACTACACCTAAAGCAGAAAAAAATAAGGAAAATAAAAAATAAGGAAAAAATTTTTAAAAAAGAGAAAAAACAGACTTTTCAAGCCTCTATTATACCAGGTTTTATCTCAGGTACTTTGGAAATGTTATTTGTTCTAATTCTTACAAGAACCTACTGGGATAGATGTGATTATGCCCATTTTAAGGGACAGGTAACCAGTGTCCCAACCTATCTGGGAGAGAAACAAAGTCTTAAATTCAACACTGAATGAATACAAAGTTCACATCTTACTCCTTCTTCACCTGGCCACTTAAGCTGCTGAATCCTGGAGTGTCAGATGGGAGTATCCTGCATTTTTAAAAAAATTTATTTGACAGATATAGTTAGACAGTGAGAGAGAGAGACAGAGGAAGGTTTTCCTTCTGTTGGTTCACCCCCCAAATGGTTGCTATGGCCGGCAGGCTGCGCCGATCTGAAGCCAAGAGCCATGTGCTTCTTCCCGGTCCCCTATGAGGCAGGGGCCCAAGCACTTGGGCCATCCTCCACTGCCCTCCTGGGGCACAGCAGAGAGTTGGAGTGGAAGAGGAGCAACTGGGACTAGAACCCGGCACCCCTATATGATGTTGGCGCTGTAGGCGGAGGATTAGCCAAGTGAGCCACGGCGCTGGCCCCTGTATCCTGCATTTGTTCCTCTCCCAAGTCAGCTTAACTGTGATGCAAGCCCCAGGGCCAAAGGCAGGAGGCAGAGGATCCAAGCAAGTGAAGACCCCCATGCAGAAAAGGAGCATCCACACAGTGTGATGTGAACAGGCTCACCTGTGACTCAGAAACGCCAGCTCAGACTGAGCTCAGATTGAGCTCATTGGTGATGGAGAGCTTGTGGTTGAAAGAAGAACTTCCCCTTAAGTGGACAGTGGGGCACCATGGAATAGAAGATGTAGGGATTCAAATTCAATCCCATCGAGGTGGCATGTACCAATGCCATCTCACTAGTCCCAGTGATCAATTTCTGTTCACAATTGATGGTAATGATGAGACTAAGAACCAAAGGGATCACATAAACAAGAATAGTGTCTGCAAAAACTAGCTGATAGAATCAGAAAGGGAGAGAATGATCCAACATGGGAAGTGAGATACACAGTAGACTCATAGAATGGCAAATGTCCTAACAGCACTCCGGCCTCATAATCAGCCCTTAAGGTATGCGGATCCGGCTGAAATGCCCATGAGAGTATTTCAGGCATGGAAAGCCAAGACACTCTGGGGGAAAAAAAAAACCTAAATGAAAGATCTCCACGAGTGAGATCCCAGTGGAAAGAATGGGTCATCAAAGAAGGAGGTATCTTTCTCTGAAGGGAGGAGAGAACTTCCACTTTGACCATGGCCTTGTCTAAATATGATCAGAGTCGGTGAACTCAGGGGGCTTCCATAGCCTTGGCAGCTCATGACAAGAGCCTAGGGTGATTACTGATGCCATAAACAAGAGTGTCAGTTTGTTAAGTCAACAACAGGAGTCACTGTGCACTTACTCCTCATGTAGGATCTTTGTCCTTAGTGTGCTGTACATTGAGATTTTTTTTTTTTATTTTTTGACAGGCAGAGTGGACAGTGAGAGAGAGAGACAGAGAGAAAGGTCTTCCTTTGCCGTTGGTTCACCCTCCAATGGCTGCCGCGGCCGGCGCGCTGCGGCCGGCGCACCGCGCTGATCCGATGGCAGGAGCAAGGAGCCAGGTGCTTTTCCTGGTCTCCCATGGGGTGCAGGGCCCAAGCACCTGGGCCATCCTCCACTGCACTCCCTGGCCACAGCAGAGGGCTGGCCTGGAAGAGGGGCAACCGGGACAGAATCCGGTGCCCCGACCGGGACTAGAACCCGGTGTGCCGGCGCCGCTAGGCGGAGGATTAGCCTAGTGAGCCACGGCGCCGGCCGGTGTACATTGAGATTTAATGCTATAACTAGTACTCAAACAGTATTTTTCACTTTTTGTTTCTCTGTGGGAGCAAACTGTTGAAATCTTTGCTTAATGTATGCTAAACTGATCTTCTGTATATAAAGAGAATTGAAAATGAATCTTGATGTGAATGGAAGGGGAGAGGGAGTGGATAAGGGGAGGGTTGCGGGTTGGATGGACGTTATGGGGGGGAAGCCATTGTAATCCATATTCTGTACTTTGGAAATTTATGTTCATATTCTGTCTTTGCTACTTGCAAATAAAGATGTCAAAAAATCAAAAAATCAAAAAAAAAAAAAAAAAAAAGAAGATGTGGAAAGAGGGACCTAGTGCTTTGGTGCAGGTGAGATATTGAGAGAGCAAATGCTTCTCCATCTTGGGTCTTTGTTTAGATTCCTTCCTCTCCATTCAAGGTGTGTATTGGATATCAGCATTGCTAGCCTCCAATGACTCTGCCTTGCATTATTATTTGTAACATTGTTCAATAGGCTTTACTTAACTTTCTCATTCAAACTTTCACCAATTTGGTGAAGCAGAAATCCCCATTGTGCAGATAGAGAAATAAAATCCAACAATATTGAGTACCTCATGCATGTTGAGCTCCCCAAAGCGTAAGAGTGTTGACGTGATTTGTGTCTTCAGTGGATTAAAAGTTTACTCATTTTGATGCCTTCTTCTCCCTCATCTCAGAAGTCCAATCAATCACCATTTCACTAAACATCCTGTATACTGTTCTCCTCTTATTTTAATCCCATAATGGTTTTTTGTGTCAAGATCACTGGCCTAAGGAGTCCCTATATAGCTGATATTTTGGTGTGTCTGTAAGGATGTTTACAGAGTAGGTAAGCACTTGGATTACTAGAATGAGAAAGCAGATCACTCACTAATGTGGGCAGGCATCATCCAATCTATAGAGGGGCCTGATTAGAACAATAAGGTGGAAAGAGAGCTAGCTGCTTGAGTTAAGACATCCGTAGTCTCCTGCTTTGGACACTGGTACTCGTTGCTCCCAGGCCTGTGTGGATTCAGACGGGGATTTACCCTACTGGCTCCTCTGATTCAGGTGAGGTTGGACTGGAGTTCCAGCCTGGCGTTCCTGGGTCTCGGCTCTTACCCTGCAGACGCTTGGGCTGCTCAGCCTCCATAGTGTGTGAGCCTCATGACGAATCTCTTCCTATGTATCTGTATATACTATTGGTTCTTTTCTCTGGAGGGAAGTGGTTCTACTCTAGCGGAACCATTTTTACAGTTCTACCAGCAATGTATAAACATGTCTTAATTTCTATTCCAGTTCTCATTATCACTCATTTTGTTGATTATAGCCATTCCAGCAGATATAAAGTAACATTTTATTGTGGTTTGACTTGCATTTCCCTAGTGACAAATGACATGGATTATTAATGTACATTTTGATCATTTGTATATCTTCTTGGCAGTAATTTCTTTCTCTGTATCAGAGAAAATGGTCTTCCATTTTCAGAGAATGGTCTTCCATTCTCTGATTCACTCCTTAAATGGCCGCAAGGCAGGGGCTGAGACAAGCCAAAGCCAGGATCTAGGAGCTTCTTCCAGGTCTCTCACATATGTGGCAAGGGCCCAAGGACCTTGGGCATCCTCTACTGCTTTCCCACGTCCATCAGCAGGGAGCTGAATTGGAAGTGGAACATCCAGGACTCGAACTGGGGGTGTCCATATGAGATGCCGGTGTTGCAGGCAGTGGCCTAGCCTGCTATACCACAACACCAGCCCCTCTCTCTTGAATTCTCTGTCATCATTACAGGCATTCAGAATCTGTTCTCTGTCTCATGGCAATAAGAATTACCATGTGGACATAAGTGGGGAAGGGTTGAACAAAGCAAGTGAATGTAGATTTTATTGAGAAACAGACTCCTGCTTGCCACAAGGGGTTCATCAAGGTCTGAGTACTGAGAGCATATGCAGGGAGTCCATATCAATTGATCATTTCTTCTATATAGTTTCTCTCTCTCTCTCTCTCTCTCTCTCTCTTTTTTTTTTTTTTTGACAGGCAGAGTGGGCAGTGTGAGAGAGAGACAGAGAGAAAGGTCTTTCTTTTTGCCGTTGGTTCACCCTCCAATGGCTGCCGCGGCCGGCGCGCTATGGCTGGCGCACCGCGCTGATCCGAAGCCAGGAGCCAGGTACTTCTCCTGGTCTCACATGCGGGTGCAGGGCCCAAGCACTTGGGCCATCCTCCACTGCCCTCCCGGGCCACAGCAGAGAGCTGGCCTGGAAGAGGGGCAACCGGGACAGAATCCGGCGCCCTGACTGGGACTAGAACCCGGGGTGCCGGTACTGCAGGCAGAGGATTAGCCTAGTGAGCCCCGGCGCCGGCCCTATATAGTTTCAATATGCTAAGGGTCTTTGTTTCTTTCTATGTCTTTCATGTAGCAGTCACAGTTCTTGATCAGTTAAGAAATGTTACCAACCATGTGGGAGGTGTGACAGTTGAGGATATTGTTGACCTGAGCACTTAAGGTGGGTTATGCCTGCCTGATCACTTGCTGTGTTACTTTGTGGTGTGTTCTGCTATGATGCCAAAACCTAGTTTCTCATATGATTACCTATGGGTTGGGACCCATTGTGTTCTGTAACTATTTTCTTAGGGAAATGTCTTTTGTCCGATCACCAGAGTACAAAAATATTGTTCAGCTAGCCATTGTGGAAATGCAAATCAAAACCACCACGAGGTTTCACCTCACCCCAGTTAGAATGGCCCTCATACAGAAATCACCAAGCAATAAATGCTGTTGAGGATGTGGGAAAAAGGCCCCTTCATTCACTGCTGGTGGGAATGTAAACTGGTGCAGTCCTTGTGGAAGACAGTGGGGAGACACCTCAGAAATCTGAAAATAAATTTACCATATGACCCAGTGACCCCATTCCTGGGAATTTACTGAAACAAAATAAAATCAGCATCTGAAAGAGTTATCTGTACCCCCATGTTCATCACAGCTCAGTTCACAATAGCTAATATCTGGAATCAACCCAAATGTCCATCAGCTGGTGACTGGATAAAAATTGTGCTATATATACACCATGGAATACTACTCAGAGGTAAAAAAATTAAACCCTGTGTTTTGCAACAAGATGAATGCAACTGGAAGCTTAGTGATATGAGGTAGCCCCCAGAGACAAATACCATATGTTCTCCCTGGTCTGTGGTAACTAATAGAGTACCTAAAATGTAATGTATTGAGTAAAATGGGCATTTTGAGATTCGATGATCTGGTGTCAGGGAATCTAGTGTACAGCCCTTGTCTTGATTGTTGAGGAACAGTTTTTTTTTTTTTTCTTTTCTCCATACTATTTGTTGAACTCTTTACTTAGTGTCGTATAAAGTAAACTTATGAGTATAAAGTAAACTGAAAATAGATCTTTGTGAAAATTAAGAGTGGGAATAGGAGAGGGAGGAGGAAGAAGGGTGGGTGTGTGGGCAGGAGGGTAGGGTAGGGTGGGAAGTGTCACTATGTGCCTAAATCTGTATATATGAAGTACATGAAATTTGTATACCTTAAAAAAAAAAAAAAAACAGAACCTTGTTCCTCATTCCCACAGAGGCCTTTCTTAACTTCCTAGTTAACCCCTCTAGCTCCTCTCATCATCATGCCTCTACCACTTCGTTGAATCAGTTAAGGGTACAAGAGGAAGAGACAGAAAAGGAAGTCAGGGAGATAAGATGTGAAAAGTCTTGACTCACTCTTTCTGACTTGAAATGATAGCACACAGCAGAGTGTGTTCTTATGTAAAAGACCCTCAGTTGCCTTGCTAAAGAAAATGAAGACCTCAGTTTTATACGGCAAAACACTGCATTCTGGTAATAATCTCAATGGGAAAGAAATGGATTTTCCCTTAGAGTCTCCAGAAAGGCACGCAGCCTCAAGACACCTTGCTTTGATTCCAATGAGACTTCCGATCTCCAGGACTAAAAGAAAATAAAGCTGTGTTGTGTTAAGACATTAAGTGGGTGATGATTTATTATGGCGGGGATATACAATAATAAAGATTTAAGACAATAGTTTCAAATCCTTTGGATGTTCCAAGGCCTTTAGTCTGGTCGCCTCTGTGGGACTCTGCACTGCAAACCTTCAGTTGTTTCTGTGGCTCCTATATTTGAAAAATAGTACGTCTAAATTGGAACTTCCCAAATGTGCTTCCCATTCAGTCTGCCCAAACTAATGAATGTCCCCTCTGTCTTTCCACTTGTTCTAGCCACAAAACCATGGTTTCATCCTTGCTTCACTGTTTTTCTCACACTCCTTTTCATTTAATGGATGAACTGATCCTGTGTCTCACCTGCACTATTGCAGTAGCCTCTCGGTTTCCCTGCTTCTATGCTGAATGCTTTAAATGTGATTCTCAAACAGCATCCAGAGTGACCCTTTCAGTATGTAAGTAGCATCATGTCACTCCTTAGTTCAGAACTCCCCCAGTTTAACTAGAAGACCTTATGTACCTATGACCTCACCCCCAGCACTCCACTTAATCTATTCTGAGATGCTGAGTCTTTTTGCTATTCTTTGACATGGCAGGCAGGCTACTGCCTCAGGGCCTTTGCTTCTACCTGGAGTTCTTTTCTTCCAGGTAACTGCTTGTCTCGTTTTTTCTCACGTGCTTCAGGCTATTGTATAACTGTTATCTTCTCAGTAAGATCTTCCCTGACTGTCCCCTACCCCAAACCCCATTTATAAATGCAACCTCTTCCTTACTTCCTCCTGTTCCTCTGTGACATTTTTCTCCATAGCATTAATTACAGGGATATGAGTCAGGTCCATTTAGGTTGTCTCTTAAAGCCAGATGAATGGTCAGGGAAGCCTCCAGGTGTAAGGCAGAAGCCCTGGTGTGTAAATAGCATCAGCACACCCAGAAGACTGCACACGCGGGAAGTTATGAACTTGCCAATGTCACACAACTCACAGGTGCCTAAGCAAGCTGGGATTCAAACTTCAGAGTCAGATGCTCTTGACTACATGTTATACTGGTTAAATCAGTTACAGGCCATTTACATGATGGAATAAGGTTCATGTGATAACAAGGATAAAGGGTATCTTCGTATAGTTGAGTGGGAAAGTACCAATGAACTATTGTGTGTTATGGAGTTGTAGGTACAATATTATCCCAATAATGTGAGAGTGTAGTCATGCATATTTATGTGAGTGTAAAGGAAGTCTAAAAGTTTTTTTTAACTTTTATTTAATGAATATAGATTTCCAAAGTACGACTTATGGATTACAATGGCTTCCCCCCCATACCGTCCCTCCCACCTGCAACCCTCCCCTTTCCCACTCCCTCTCCCCTTCCATTCACATCAAGATTCATTTTCGATTATCTTAATATACAGAAGATCAGCTTAGTATACATTAAGTAAGGATTTCAACAGTTTGCTCCCACACAGAAACATAAAGTGAAAAATAATAGATGATTTTTTTAAATGATGATGAAATCAGATCAGACCTATTGTCATGTTTAATCCCAGTGAGAGTCAAGTTGGGAATTGATAATTTTTTTTTTACAGAAGATCAGTTTAGTATGCATTAAGTAAAGATTTCAACAGTTTGCACCCCCATAGAAACACAAAGTGAAATATACTGTTTGAGTACTCGTTATAGCATTAAATCTCAATGTACAGCACATTAAGGACAGAGATCCTACATGAGGAGTAAGTGCACAGTGACTCCTG